AAAACATAAAAACGTTTTTTTTAGTGTTTATAAAAGAAAGTAATAAAAATTCTAAATTTAGTTGGAGATAAAGTAGAAAAAAGAGAATTCTTCAAAGACTTTTGGAAATAGCTGATGCAATTTTTAAGATAAAATATTTAGAAATTTTAAAAACCTAAAGTCAATGTGTTAAGTTTATATTTTAAAAGAAATTATTTTATTATTAATAAAATAAAATTACAGCTGCTGTTTAAATCTAAATAGATTATTATGCTTTATTAACATGATTATTTAAACAGCTGTCTGTGAAACAGAAAAAGTAGAATAATTACTCTTTGGTAGCTTATGTTTAAACCAACAAATCTGTTGTTTACCTGTTTACAAACAACAAATTCATTCAGTTGGAATAAACTACAAGAGAGAAACTGCATAGATTTCTGTTAAATTACAAAACCCTTAACTAATTGATCTACGAGGATTAAAAACACAAACACAATGCTGCTTGCAGTTCCGCTTGAAGATGACACCTTTTTTTGTTGCTTTCTCAGCATTAGTTAATGTTTTTTTTTTTTTTTTTGTATTGTAAATTACATGTTGCTTTTCTTGATCTTAAATAAATAACCTAAAAACCTAACTGCAGCTGTCTAAATTTGTCTAAGTCTTTTAAAATTGTTGTTGTTTGAAAAGAAAAACGCAACATTTGAGCTATTTTAAGATTTTTTTTTTTTTGAAATTTCGAGTGTTTTGTTTTTCTTTTTTAGTTTTCCAAGAATTATATTTAACACACACCATGTTTTATGCTTCGAAAGAAAAGTAAATATGTAATGTAAATACAGGAGGGTGTTGACAATGTTTTTTTTTTAGAGTATTTTCAAATATTTGTTGTTGTTTTCTTTAAGTTATTGTTATATAGTTTTTACTACCCACTTACAGTTCTTTTATAAAATTTATTTACCCAAAAAACCATTAAAATGTTATTTTAAACTCGAAAAGAAAAACTTATTTGGGGGGAAATTCTGTTTTTTGAATATTTTTAATTCATGTTTAGATTTTATGGAAAATTTTGAAAAAAAAAAACTTGATTTGAAAAATTTAAAAATTTTTAATTTAAAGAATTTTTTTTCAATTTTTCAAAATAACAAAAAAAATTTGTTCTAAAATCTTTAAATTTATTTATTTATAGTTGGATAATCTCTAATTAATAATAATCTTTAAATTTTTTTGAAAAAAATAACTCAAGAACAAATAAATGTATTTTTATTAATGAAAATTTCAAAAAAACAAATTTTTTGTTTTTCTTAAAAACAAAATAACATTTATTTTAAGATTAAAAGATTTGCCTATTAGTTGCTTAAGAGGGGGGGGGGGGCGTGTGAGTGTAAAATGCGAAAAACAAAAAAACAATATGTAGAGGCGTTAGAAATACATACATGGCGCCAGTAAAATCAAACGACCGTGTAGATTATTTAGTACAATTCTTTAAGCAACAAAACACAAACTTTCATAATTCTTAAAACTAAAAAAATATGGAAAAAAGTGGTTTTATTATTAACAAATTAAAGCATTTTTTCCATTTCTACTTGTAAAAAGAAAATATGAGCAAAAACAATTAAACAGGAATGCGGTCGTGGTAAAGAAGAATAAATAATAATAACAAAAACAAACAAACAAACAAAAATGTTAATAATATTTAGCTATTTTTAAAATAACAATTATTGTTTTATTTATTATAAACTTTTTTGCAACTTTGTAATATTTAAATTTTCTTAGAAGCAAAAAAACCGGTAGTGTCACTATTAGAAAAAAAATTTACATTTCAATTTTGAATAAATTTTTATATATTTTTTGTTTTTAATTTAAAGTTTATGTTATTTTTGGGGGATTTCCAATAGGTTTGTTTTTGTTTAAATGGTTTTTTGTTTCTGACGTCAACATCTTTATAACTATTTTATGTATGACTTTGTTTTCTTATTGTTATTGTTTAAATATTTTATTTTTAAATAGAAATAAATAAATAAATGTACAATAGAAATCACGTACAAATCAAAGATAATCACCGCGTATAGATAAAATAACAAAAAAAAGTATACTAACAACAACAATAATAAAATTGGAACGCTTGAAAACTATATAAAAAGAAATATTAAAAAAAAAAAAACAAAAAAATCAGGTGGTTTTTGTTTAAAATTAAACAAAAGCCTTAAGGAATTAAAGACCAGCTGTTAGCGTATGTTAAAGTGGAATGATTTAATACAAAATGAAAAATTTCAAAAACTTTTTAAAAAATTTTAGGAAAATTATGAATTGAAAAGATGCAAATTTATTAATTTTGTTTAAAAAATATCAAAAAATGTCATGTTCGAATTTTTGAAATTTGCTTAAAATCATAGAATTTAACATTGAGTTGCGTAAAAAGCTTCAATTTTAAGATTTCTATAAAATTTTTAAAATTTTGCTCGGTTTTTCTTTGTTTCAATTAAAACTTTTTCAAAATTTTTATAAAAATTTAAAAATTTTTAAAGAAAATTGAAATTTTGGTCCCAAAAATCTTTTAAATATGTTTACAAGATGCAAATTTATTAATTTTGTTTAAAAAATATCAAAAATGTCATGTTCGAATTTTTCAAAATTAAGTTCGAATTTTCGAAATTTGCTTAAAATCATAGAATTAACATTAAATTGCCCTAAAAAGCCTGAATTTTAAGATTTTCTTACAATTTTTTAAAATTTTGTTCGGTTTTTCTTTGTTTCAATTAAAACTTTTTCAAAATTTTTAAACTTTTTCAAAATTTTTATTAAAAATTTGTAAAGAAAATTGAAAATTTTACCTCAAAAATCTTTTAAATATGTTTACCAGATACAAATTTATTAATTTTGGGTAAAAATATCAAAAAAATCTTATGTTCGAATTTTCGAAATTTCCCTTAAATCATAGAATTTAACATTGAATTGCCGTAAAAAGACTGAATTTTAAGATTTCGTTACAATTTTTAATATTTTGCTCTGTTTTTCTTTATTTTAATTAAAACTTTTTTAAAATTTTTAAAACTTTTTCAAAATTTTTATAAAATTTTTCAAAATTTTTCAAAGAAAATTGAAAATTTTGCCCCAAAAATGTTTACCCGATGCAAATTTATAAATTTTCTTTAAAAATAACAAAAAATGTCATGTTCGAATTTTTCGAAATTAAGTTCGAATTTTCGAAATTTCCCTTAAATCATAGAATTTCGCATTAAATTGTTATAAAGGCAAAGACTTTAAGATTACCTTAAAATTTCTAAAAATTTAAGACTATTTTAAAATTTTAGTGTAAAAAATCGAAAAAAATTTGTTCGAATTTTTGAATTTGGGCTTAAATTATAAAATTTAACATATTAACTTTAAACATTTGACCTACAACTACAATTTCCTTCTTTTTTTAATGCACAAATTCAAAAGCAACTGTTTTGTTATAATAAGATGTCCGGTTTTAACTTTATTTCTTAGAAAACCTTTTAAAAAGTAATTTTTTTTATTAACAAAATCCTATTACAAACATTACTTTTATTAACTTAACAACAATTGTTGTTTAATTATTTTTAGAAAAAAAAGTTATTTTTCTTAATAAATAAAAAAAGTTATTTTTAGTTTTATTAAACAGCAACCTGTTTAATTGTGTTAGAGAAAAAAAAAGAGAAATAATGTTAAACAAATACAACAAGTTGAATAGTCAAATTTATAACAGAAAACAGTAACAAAAGTTTATAGCGGAAAAAAATATATTGTGGCAAAAGTTATAAACAACTTATTTAAAAAAAAAAAAACGGCAGCAATTGAATTAAAAAATTTTTTTATAAACAATTATTTTTTTATTTTCTTCACATACATAAGTTGTTTTTATTTCGTGGCATTTAGAAAATAAATAAATTAAATAAGAAAAAATAACAACAACAAGCAACTACTTAATAAAAAAAAAACAACAAAATTTAACGACACGTGTAAGCGATAAACATTTTTTTTATACATTTGTTGTTGTCAATGTATTATTTAAGTTCTTTAACACATAATGAAAAAAAAAAAAACATTATTTATTAACCCTGTAATGGGTCAAGTGAAGAAGTTTTAACAAAGGCGTCAAGGAGACCTGATACTTTTAATGTAAATTGAAATCCACATAAAAAAACTTTACAAATCCCTATTTAACTAAAACTATTTCAATTCATTTCCTTCTTTAAGTCCCACTATATAACTTTAAGCTCTTTAAAGGGTTAATTGGAGTATTTAATAAGTGGTTTTTTGTTGTAGTTTGTGTTTAGTAAACGGTATTTTACTCGTGTTTACACAATCTGCTTCAAATTTCGTGTGAAACTCTTTAGATTTCTTTTCTTTTTTTTATACCTTTTTTAACTGACAACAACTTTTTTGCATTTGTCTGGTCTGGCGGCGGCTTCTTTTTCTTGGTATTGTATTTAAAAATCTTGTCAAATTTATTAAAAAATTTCTATGACGTCTGTATTATGATTTTTATAGACCATTTTATGAATCTAAATTGCTGTATTTAAAATAATTTATTTGTTAAATAGTGTTTTATATGTATACGTCACAAAATGCGAAATTTTTGACCAATAAAGCCTATTTGGATTAACGATTGACGTTAGCATAAATATTTCTAATGTAAATTTAGTTTAAGATTGTAAAGTTGTAGGTTGTTTAATGTCAATCACAGTCATTTAATTAACATATTAAGATTCCTGCTAATCTTTATTACAATAATAAAATGTCAAAAAGAAGTTTTCAAATCATTGTAAGATTTTAGAGAAATATTTTGCACAAATCAGGACAGAATGAAGTTGCAATTAAACAATTTTATATGCCACCATTTTGGTAGCGAAATTATCTTCCTTTTATTTCAAAAAAGTTTCTAAAATTTCTTAAGTTTTTCAAATTTTTGCTTTTGCCCTTTGAAAATTTGGCAAAATTTTGCAATTTTTTGCCCTTTTTTTCTGCAATTTATCATTGAACATATAAATTTTTTTACTTACTTGCATATTCACGTTTTGTATTGATATCAACACCCAAATAGACATTACTAAAACTGCCCTCGCCTATAAATTTGCCAAATATAAAATCTTTGGGTGATTTCTTTGGTGGTGTAACGGCTATAGGTGTTGGTGGTGTTGAACTATTTGGATTTAAGGTATTTGCTGTTGTTGTTGCTGAGGCGGAGGAAGCGTTAGAGGATATTGAGGAAGTTGATGACAAGGTATACATGGGTGCAGATGATGGTGGTGGTGTAGTAGAATAATCCATATTATTTGTTTCACCATTAACTGTTGCTGCTGTTTGATTAAAACGTATGCGACAGCAAGATGTACTGCTATTACTACTAAAGCCACTGACTGTTGAGGCTGTGGATAAACGATGTGGTGAGGAGGAGGGTGAATTGTTAGAGTTGTGACCACCACCAGCGATAGCTGCTGCTATGGGTGATGAGTGTCCTGAAACAGAGAGAGAGAGTTTAAAAGGGAAAAGCTTTAAGTTAAGTAAAATGAAAAATTAAGCAGAAAGATCTTCAATAAAAGAATAAGAAACATCACTCACCATTAGTCATATATTTAGTTCTCATAGTAACTTCTGTGGCAGATGCATTACCACAACCGCATAAATTACGCTGCTGTTGATGTAAAGATGTGGAGGAATTTTGTTGACGTAATGTTGTTGTAGTAGTATTACCACCAGTTGTTAAAGGTGAATTAGTACTAACAACTGGTGAGGCAGCAGTGGCCGTTGAAGCCATAGCAGCCGCAGCTGCTGAGGCCGCAGTAGCAGCTACAACTGCAGCGGATGTTGCTAATTCTTTATATTTTAATTCACTAAAATTATTTTCGGTTAATGATACTGCTGTGGCTTTTTCTTTGGGCATTGCTGGCATTGTGCTGCTGCAGCAATTTGTTAGATATTGTTGCTGCTGAGCGCTATTGGTTGTATTACAATTTGAACTAGTGGGCTGTTGTTGTGGACCGTTACTCTAAAAGTAGAGTAGAAAAAGAAAATAGTATTATTATATTGAGTATTTTTGTTTAATAGGAAAGTTTTTTTTTTTAATTTTAATCTTAAGTGATAATAAGCTTTTAACATTTACAAGTGTTTATAATAACAAAATTTAATCTTAAGCTAAAAATTCAACAAATCTAGGGGGTAAAATAATAAAAATATTTAAATTTATTTAGTTTTTAATTTTAGACAAAATTTTTGTATTTTAGCCCGTCAAAGAGTCTGATTTGCTGCTTAAAAAGCAACATCGAAAGTTTTTTGTTTTCTTTGTAAAAAAAAAAAATGGCCTTAAATCAGCGGCATTTTGTATGTTTTGTTAATTTTCTATGATTTTTATCTAGTTAATGTTTAGAGGTCATTAATGACGTAGATCTCTTAAACTTTTTTGTTTAGTAGTTTATTAAGTTAGTAAGAGTTTAACAGCTTTTAGCGTATAGTATAGTATTTGTAAGAAAAAAAAACGAAGACAAAGACTTGAAAAAACCAGTAACTTTAAAGTAGTAGTGGCACAAAGAACCGGGCAAAAGTTAATAAACTTAAAAAACTACTAAAGGAATTTAAAATATTTTATTAGAAAAGTTATATATGTCTTAATGTTTTCTAATGATATACAGAAAATTTAAAATATTTTAAACTTTTAGCAAAATAATTTGTTTTGAAATATTGAAAAAACTAACAAATTTAAAGTGTTGTAATTAAAAAACTAGACAAGATTTTAGCAGATTTCATATATCCTTAGAAAGGTTTTGAGATTTACTTTCAAATTATATAAAATTAAGACAAAATTAGTTATTTAACTAAAGTTATTTAGATTTAAATTTTATAATTTTTTTTTCATATTTTCTTTTTTTTAAAAAACTGTGTCATAGTTTGAAAATAAATAAATTATGATCTCATGCTGCTGCTGCTACTGAAGCAAAAGATTTTTATTTGATTTTAACACTTAACTGCTGAGAAATCTTTAATAACTTTTTATGAGTAAACACACAAACACACACTCAAAAAATTTCTTTTAATTTTAAAAACAAATAAAAAATCTTAAAAATCAATTTAATTGTTTGAAAAAAAAAGAGCACAAAAAAACTCCCCCATAAATCTGTGGCCATAATTTTTATTTATAAATTTTTTCAAACTATTTTTAAACACATTTTTTTTTTTTTTCAAATGTGTGTGCGAATTTTTTTTTTCTTTGTTTACAGTTAGCAAATAAACAAATAAAACTTTAAATTGTTTAATATAAACAGCAATTAAAAAAAAAATGTTTATAAAAAAAAACAGAAAACCAACGAAAATTGTAGAAAAAAAAAATATAACAAAAATGAAATGTATTTGTTATAACAACTAACAAGTCCTTGAAATAAATTAAATTTTACGCAAAAGTGTGTGTTTATTAGACACAATAAGATAATAAAACAAAAAGCTGACATATTCAAATTAATGCCAAAACGTGTGAGCTTTTAATAAAAAAACTTTAAGATCTTTGGCGGCGCATTTAATAATCAATCAAAAATTTTTTGTTTTTTTTATTTTTATAGTAAAAAAGTAAGTTTTTATGTTAAATATATAGAAAAAGTTAAAATAGTTAAAAATTTGAGAAGCTTTAAGTTTAAAAATTAAGTATTTTAAAGAAATTTTTCTCAAAATTTTTTTAGTTTTTTATAAAATTTTCGAATTTGGTTAAACTAACCTAAAAAATTTTTATCTTTTCCTTTATATTTTTAAAATTTTAATAATTTTATAAAAATTTTTTAATAAAAACCACCTAATAAACAAATAAATTTCTCTTTTTTTTTTAAATAAAAAAGTAAAAGAAAAACAATTTGCAAAAAAAAATAAAATTTCAATAATTTTTGTTTAAATTTAATATTGCATGCAAGAAAAATAGTGTTGCATGTTGCCAGTAAACAATATAATTTCCTTAAAACCAACACCTACTGCAACCAACAATAAGTAAACTTTTCCAAAATAATAAACTTCTTGTGGCCAAAAACATTTCCTGGCCACTCGGTTTTCTTTTCTTTCAATTTAATGGTTTTTAGGTGGGTGTTTTTTTAAAGTTTATTTTTAGCTAATATCGTGTAGAAAGCAATACATAGATAGAGAAAAAAAAAACAACAATTGCCAGCAATTGCATAAATATAAAATAGATATTACTATAAAAAGGTCTGGTATAATCAGCTATAATAACCAAAAGTTAGAATCATTGTTTGCAACAGCAACAGAGCAGCAGAGTAGGTAGACAAGAGTAGAGTAGAGTCAGCCAGCCAGCCAGTCAGGCTGCCGGCAAACAGTTGTTGTTTGCTTGGCTGGTTAGATGGCTGACTGGCTCTCGTATGAATGACTGACTGGGTTGTAAATTGTTGTAAAAAATAACAACAAATCTGGCACAGAGGCTCTTCGTCGCCACTTGCACCTTTAGATTTTGGCTGCTAATGTTGCATTTATTTAGTATTTTTTGCATTTTTTTATTTATATTACATCTATAAAAAAAGTGTTTGTTTTTTTTCTATCAACATCATCACATCAGCATGATTATTAGCTAAAATTGAACGGGCCAACTGACGCCTTGTTTGCTAGAGATTATCATTAATTTGAAAGAGAGTATAGTTTTATCTACAGCTTAGTCAGAACATCTGTATGTTATAAAAAAACTTTATTAATAATTTAAAATATTTAAATATTTTTTTATTTAAAAAACCTAGAATAATTTTTTAATTACTTTTTTTTAATATCTATTAAATTGCCACAATTTAGCAAATATTTTATTGAAATAAACAATTTCTTTTTTTATTTAAATAAACACCATAAATGTTTATTTATCTGCTACAACTATAATAAAAAATTTAGCATCCCATTTGAAACCAACCACCTTGCTGCTAAAATAAAAATTAAAAAAAAAAAAAAAACACTTGGCATCAATTTGAAATTTTTTTCTTTATATACCAAAACAACAAAAACAATTTAAATTGTTTTTATTTAATATATAGATAAATTAATGTCTAGTATAGAATAACAAAAAGAAAAATTAAATAAAAATTTTCAAATGTTTAAAAAATTTAGCAAACATTTAAAACAAAAAAAAAAAAAAATAAAAAAAATAAAGCAACAATAACAATGACAAAAAGTGTGTGTGTTTGTGTTTGTTTGCATTTTATAAACATTTCAAACATGACAGTTTCAATTTTAAATTATATTTATTTAAAATAAAATGTACGAAAAAAAAAAATTATGTGTCTAGACAGTTATAGACGTCAGTCAGAGTAAATAAATAAATAAAAATATTATATATTCTTTTTTTCAACGTTTTTCAAAGGCAGGGAAGTTGTTGTTGTTATTTTAAATTATTGTTTATATTAATTTACAAAATATTTATTTAGGAAAACTTAAAATTTTTCGAAACTTTTATCAAAATTTTGGGGTAGGGAAAGGAAAATTTTCGTTAAGCTAAGACAATTCAATTAGCAACAAAATTTTGATAATTTTTAAATAAACACGATTGATTTAGAAGATTTAAAGGTCAGTGGAATATAAGAAACAGAAACTAAAACTTTTTTCTAAAAGCTTTTAAGAACACTTGATTTAAAAGAATTTTAGTACCATCAAGTACTTGTCTATAACCGAGGTAAATAGGAATGAACTAAACCTAGATTTGAATGATTGATCTTATTGCCATTAAAAACCTTTAATTTAAGGGAAAAAAGTCTCGCAAAGCAGCTTTTATAATGCCAGAAGTTCCTGCTTTCGAAATACCATTATCTTAGCCGTCGGTCTGTAAACTGTATGTGATCAAGGATGATCTACTTGTCTATGGCATGATTAATGGAAATCAGAAATTTAATCAAATAGAAATTCTGCATAACGGACGGATTCTAAAGAATACATAACTTATCAGTTAGATTAAACAGGTGGTAAAAGGTCTATAGGTAAAGCAGCTGCTCTTCCGCATCAAAAATATTGCCTTTTACCGAAAATAAACTACAAATCGTAAGCGTATAAGGGAAACTTGACTTTAGGTCTTAAATATGTTAGAATTAAGCAAAATTACTTGAAATTTTGATTAAGGTAATGATAAAAAACTTTGCTTCCGGACAAAAGAATTTAACCATTTTTCCAACATAAACAACAAGTGGTAAGTGTGGGTTATGGAAATTTTGCTAAAACTCCAAATTTTCTTAAAATTAAGCTGAAATACTTTAAAAATTCATTATTTTAAACACAAATCTCAAAATAAATACAAAATTATTTAAAAAATATTATAATTTTACACAAAATTTTACAAATTTTAAACATTTACACAAATTTTTTCTTATCCAAATCTAACTTCACTTTGACGGCACATTTATTTGTTTTTTTACTAACTGTAGCCAAAAAACCTAACCATTTTAAATAAAATATAAACAATTTAACTTAAAAAATTATTAATTAATAAAAAGTCAATGATATTTGCTTTTAAAATTGTAATTTTCTTAAAAAATTTAAGGACACACAGTTTTTTTCTAGGTTTTAGTTTGTTTATGTTTTGGTTTATTCTTGTTATGTTAATGAAGGTTGAGGGAAAGAGACAAATATAGTGTAATCAAACATTTGCAAAATTTTCTTCTTGCTATAAAAAAAGTGACAAATTGTATTAAAAAATTATGAAAATTTTATTAAATTTAGAAATTATTTCCGTTTAATAACAAATTAGGTAATTTTTGCTTAATGTTTGTTTTTGTTTTTACTTTATAGGTAAAATGTTTGTTTTGGTTTTGAAGGTTTGTTATTGTTTTGTTAAAGGTTAGAGGTTTTTGTTTTTTCTTTGTGTGTAAAAAAGTAAATAGTATGTATTACTATGCACAAAACTAATTTAATTAACAATTTAGTAAAACTATGAAAATTTATCTTAATATCATTAAAATAAGTACCTATATTTTTAAAATAATTGTTTATTGTACTTTTGTTTTGCTTTTGTAGGTTTGTTTTAGATTTCAAGCAAAAGTGTAACCTAACCTTGTAAACTTAAATTTAAGGTTAGAATTTAGTTTTTGTTAAAAATTTACTAATTTTTATTAAAATTATAATATAGTAATATATTGCTGCCTTTTAATACCTCTAAAAGTTGTAATTTTCCCATCAAATTTATTTCTAGGACGACTTTTTTTGTAAATTTTTCTAGTTTTTGTTTTGATTAGTTTTAATTAAAGTAGAGAGCAGCGAGAGAGTAAAATATTTTGGTAATTTTTTTGTTTTGTTTATTATTTATGTAGTTTTGTATTAAATTTATGTTGTTTTCGTTTAAATTTTTAATAAATAACAACAACAATATGCTAGGCTAACAAGTTTAGCTAGAATTTGCTGGAGGTTGTTGTTTATGAACACAAAAAAAAAATGACAATATACACAAACATACACACACACTCAACTTAACACCACAAATAAATATAAATTTTAACAGTGCAAATAGATTTGTTGTTGTTATTGTTTTATTTTTTTATGGTTAACACGCGTATACTTTTTTTGCTTGTTTTTGTTATTGTGGTTATTATATTTTGATCTCTTTTTTTTTCTTTTTTGGTGTTTTAATTTCTTTTTTGCTCTAGCTGTTTATTAAACAATAAATTGCATATTTGTTATTATTATAATTGATAATAGGAAATTTTCTTTATTTTGTTGCTGTTATTGTTATATATTTTCGAGATGTAAACAAAGAGATTATAACGTTTTTTTGGGGTACTGTTATACACAAACACAATTTTATAGAGAGCGGAAAAAAGCGAAAACAAAAAAAATGTTAACGGTTGTTTATTTTTAGCTTAAACGAGTAAAACAACAATATTGTTTTTTTCAAATTTAAACAAATTTTTTCTAGGTTTCTTTAATTATTTTTTTATTAGATTTAAATTTGTTGTAGTAGTTTTCAAGTATTTTTTATTTTACAAATTTTTTTTATGAATGAAATTTTACTAGTTTGCTGTAGTTTTTACTCTCTGTTGTTGTTATTGTAGTAGTTTTGTTGCTGTTGCTCAAGGTTATAAAAAAACACACACACACATATTTTATAATAGGAGAGTAGACGAGACGGGTTTGTTTGCTGAGCATAGAAAAAAAAAACAAGAATTTTGTTTGTCTAATATTTATTTTAAATTATTTTTATTGTTGTGTTTGTTGTTTTTATTATATATATGTTTTTTATTAAATTTCAAACTGCAATGCGTCAAAATAATAGTAAAAACGTCCCCTAGTATAGAGTACATAGTAATTGGAGCCTATTATTTTATGGCTTTAGCTTATTTTCTTCTTCAACATTTTATGCTCTGCGCTCCCTGCATATTATCTATTTTGCTCTCTTTTCTGTATTGAAGGCAAAAAAAAGGGGAGCTTTTTGTTTATGCTTAATGTTCTCTCTCTCACTCTCTGTCTTCTTTATTTCTGGTTAAATAACACTTTATAATCGGTTTTTGGTGTTCGGCATTCGTTTAATTTTCTAGTTGTTGTTGTTGTTTTTTTAGTATTTGAAGGAATTTTCCTTTATTATCAAAATATTTAGATTTTTTTTGCTACTTATTGAAATATTATTATATATAACATAAAATATTTTTCTTGAGATATTAATTTAAAGAAAATTTTCACACATAATTATTTTAAATTATAATTTAACAAACACAAACGGTGATTTTTTTTCATTAGACATTGATTTTTTTTTTACTATTTTTTTTAAATATCACATAATATTTTTAGCAGTAACTTTTTTAAAACATAAAAACACAAAATTTTCAGCTATTTTTATTATAAATTTACTACAATGAACACCATAATTTCTTTTAAATTTTCGAAATTTTTTATTTTATTAAAATAGAATTTGCATTCTTTTGTAATTTTTCTAAAATATTTTAATTAATTTAGTTTTGTATTCTTTTTATTGAGTTAATATGCCGTTTTTCAATGTAAGCGCCACAAAAAACTAATCAAGAATGAATGTATATAACGACGTCGTCTCTGACGATGATGACGACCAACCGACCTGTGTGTATATACTACAATAACAACAGCTATATTATACACCGTTTTTTTTACTCACAAATACTTACTAGCAGACACACAAACACTGATAACAAACATTTAATATTATGAGAAAAATATGTTGTGTTCCCTGCCCCGGCTCGACAGCAAAAAAAAAAAGACAACACAAATACCTTAAAAATAAGCTCCCCATTTTATAATACAAAAACAAATTTAGAAATAACAGTTTCTTTTTGCTCTCGTAAACTCTCGTGCTTTCTAGAACAATGTTAACAATATATTACATTAAAATCTGCTCTATCTACTGTCAAAATTCGATGATTCTATCCAAAGAATAAATAAGAAATGAAACTGTTGTCAAAAGTACCTAAGTCTACTGTCATCCGGTACCTAACTCTAAGAATGTATTAGTAGAATTCTCAAGTCAACATAGTTGCAAAAAATAGTATTGAAAAATATTGAAAAAAAATTATTACATTTCAATTTATACTTTGAAAGGTTTCTTAAGATATTTTGCACATATTTTATCTATAAACATTTTAAAAACACGTCTATTTGTTTTTTAATCTATAATATTGAAAAAATAAATTATTTATTTGAAATATCTTTTTCGTTTACCATACGAAAATTTACAACATTGTTTTTTTTTTTAGTTTTAATTTCAAACAACAAAAATTCAATGTCAATGTCGTCTGTGAGAAGAGCGTAATGTTATTGTTGTAAAAAAATGACAGCGTTTCACTTCTTGTTTATTCTTTGATTCTATCTATCATGACTATTCGTCTATTTTAGGAACTACATATGCAAGTCTGAGGACTATTGATTAGGCGACTGACTCCTCTATGGACAAGTCTATGAACTAATCTATAGCGTAGTCTTTAGTGTAGTGTATAGTGTAGTGCATAGTATAGTTCATGAAGTAGACTATAGTGCAGTCTGCAGTGTTTTCTCTAGTCTATAGTCTAGTCTATAGTCTAGTCTATAGTCTAGTCTATAGTCTAGTCTATAGTCTAGTCTATAGTCTAGTCTATAGTCTAGTCTATAATCTAGTCTATAGTCTAGTCTATAGTCTAGTCTATAGTCTAGTCTATAGTCTAGTCTATAGTCTAGTCTATAGTCTAATCTATAGTCTAGTGTATAGTCTATAGTCTAGTCTATAGTCTAGTGTATAGTCTAGTCTATAGTCTAGCCTATAGTCTAGTCTATAGTCTAGTCTAGTCTATAGTCTAGTCTAGTCTAGTCTATAGTCTAGTCTATAGTCTAGTCTATAGTCTAGTCTAGTCTAGTCTATGGTCTAGTCTATAGTCTAGTCTATAGTCTAGTCTATAGTCTAGTCTATAGTCTAGTCTATAGTCTAGTCTATAGTCTAGTCTATAGTCTAGCCTATAGTCTAGTCTATAGTCTAGTCTATAGTCTAGTCTATAGTCTAGTCTATAATATAGTCTATTGACTACTCTATAAACAAGTCTATAGAAAATGTCACATTTGTGTAAAACATGAAACACTAAACTAAAAAAAACGCTAAATTATCATTACTATAATGGTGGAGCAAGTAAACGAAAAGAGCTTACAAGTTTTGAGAGCGTGGAGCATAACATTAAAACAGTGAGAAATACACTGTGAAAATTGTATAAAAAAAATATTCATAATAGTTGTTGTTGTTTTAAAAATAACTGTGTGTGGCGCTTTAATAGTTATGTGTGTTGTTATTGTTTTCATTCTTTCTGCAATGTTTAAGCAATGTGAATAAAAATTAAGGAAGGGAAGGAAGTATGGGGCCAGTACAGAGCATATAATGAAAACAATAACAAAAACAAACCTTAATAAAAGCATCTTACATTTCGGTATCATTAAACAAAGCTAAAGACGAGAAAACAAAAAACAACAACATTGGTAATGAAGAAAACAAGCATAAAATGTATAGAAAAAAAAACAATATAATGGAGAGCCGCCTTAACTAAAGAGAACACAAGACAAGACTTTTAAATTGTTGGTAATGGAAGGGGGAGAAGAGGGAGTTAGTAAAACAAAACAAAAATAAGAGGTGGGAATTTCAAATACAATTATTATCTTTAGCAACATTAAACATAATCAATCATTTTTATTAAGGTATTTTTTTTTTGTTGTTAATTTTCGTAATAAATAAATGAATGAATTCCAACAAAAGATCCAACAAAAGAAAAATATTTGATCAAAACTTTGTGTACAGGGGGTCATAAAAGTAAATAAACAATAATTAAGTTTAATTTTTGGGTTTTAATAAATGTTTTTAAACAATTAAAAATTTTGGTTTTTATTTTTAATTTAAACAAATTATATATAATTTTTCTGTGTTGGTTATATTATTGTTGTTGTATTTTAAACAACGTAAACAACAATGTTTTTGTTTTTATTGAGGTCATTGTCATTCTACTTTGAAAATCAATATAAAAAAAAAATAACAAAAATACTTAATTGTGTGTTTTTGTGTCGTTTTAAAATTAAAATATTTTGAAAAATACTAAATATTCTGGTTTACTTAATTGTTAATTTTTTTTGGCTGTTTGTTTTCGTTAATGTTTGTTTATAAATTAAGGAAAATTTTAATGAAAATTTTACAAAAATTTGTTGTTTATTTAAATAATTTTAGGATTTTATTAATATTATCAAAAAAAACTTTGCAAATCAAGAAATCTTAAATTTCTCTCGGTGTAAACGTTATTTTGTTTACGTAGGTATTAAAGCAAAAACAATAACTAGAAAGATAGGTATCTTTTACGTTGTTTTGTAAACAAACCAAAGAAAATAGTTAACATATTTTTTTTTAATAATATAAACCAACAAAAACAAGCAAAATTTAACAAAATAAAACACAAACAAAAAAACAACAAATAAAAACACCTTTCACTTTGGCTTTATTGTTTTGCCACATAAAGAAAAATACCAAAGAAATTAAAAAACAACATATTTTTTGTACTAAACAAACACGCACACACAAACCAAATAAATAAATAAAATAATAAACAAATTATTTTTAATTAATTAATTATACAAAATCAAATCGAAAGCATTATTATTTACGCACTTTTTTTCCAAAACTCCTTTTGTTTACCCAAAAAATATTGTGTATGTATTTTGTTTTTTTGTTATATTTAATTAAACTGTTTATCACCCCTAAAACAAGAAAACCAAAACAAAACAAAAACTACTAACCTCCCCTCCCTTGTAGCTTTTGTTAATTTCATCTTCTCTTGCTCCAAAAACTCACAAAGTTTTCTTTCTTGTTGTCTTTCTCTGTTTATTTTGGTTTTTCACATAACATTTGTTTTGGTTTTCTTCTTCTTCTACTTTCAACATCGTTTTTAGTGCTTTATTTTGTTTTTGTTTTGTTTTTTGCACAGCCAGTGTTATTTAATACTACTGTTAGTAGAAGTGTGTGTATGTGTGTGTGTGTTTGTGTTGTCTGTGTTTTTGTTTTCAGTTGTAGACGTTTCGTTTGGTGTACTCGTTTCCATACAATTTAACTGTCTGTATGTCTGGCAGTATTGTTTTTTTGTTGAGGTTTTTTTTTCTTTCTTGCTTGCCTTTCTTGTGTCTATTTTTTATTGTTTTGTTGTTGTTTTTTTTATTTTACTTTAAATTGGCCTCTATATTTTCATTTATTATTATGTTGTTTTTGTAGTAAAGTGTCATTATTTTTCTATAAAAAAAATAACAAAACAAAACAAGGGGTTTAATATTACGCTTCCTTGTTGCTTAAGTCAGCAGAAAATATTTTATGTTTCTTTTTGTTGTTGTTATTAATTTTTAATAATTTTCTTATGTTTATTTAGTTTGTTTACAAAACATTATTGTTGTAGGGGGGAAAATCAATATTTTTGTTGTTTTTTTTTTCTAATTTACTCTTTGTTTGTTTTTTATGTTAATGTTTTCTCTTATGTTCCACTTGTTAAAATTTTCTCTTTTACTTTATTTTGTTTTTGTCTAAAGGTCATTTCAAATTACAGAGTACTTAACATTTTTGGAAGTATTTTAATGGGAATTCTCTGGAATTGTTTGTAAGTTTTTTTTTAAATTAACGTAAAAATCTAAATTAAAGGAATTTTTTGTGTATATTTTTTTTTGAAAATTTCGAAAAAATTTCCGTAAACATATTTTTTTATGAAAAAAATGGAATTTTAAAATTTTATTTAATTAATTCAAGTTTAATTGCTTGTTTATACGCTTAATTTGGTATTTCTTTAGAAATGTCTGTTGTGTTCACAATTTTCTTTACAAAAAACTGTTATACCTACACAAGAAAATTATTAAAACTGAATTTATTATAACGGTAACTGTTATATACAAAATTTTCTGTAAAGAAAAAGAGTCATACAAATCTTTTTGTAATGGAAAACTGTTTACATACACTATTTTTTTTTTTGAAAAGAAAACTTTTATACAGAAAATTTTCTATAGAGAAAACTGTTATAAACACTATTTTCTATAGAGCAAACTGTAATACACATAATCTCATAAATAGGTTACGCTTTAACATACACTTTTCTATAAAAAACTGTTATACTGAACAGTTTCTATAGAGATAACAGTTATACTGAAAATTTTCTTTAAAGAAAACTGTAATACTGATAATTTTCTATAGAGAAAACTGTTATATAGACAATTTTTATATAGAAAACTGTTATACTGACAATTATCTATAAATAAAGCTGTTATACTGATAATTTTCTATAAAGAAAACTGTTATACTGACAATTTTCTATAGAGAAAACTGTTATATTGATAATTTTCTATAAAGAAGACTGTTATACTGATCATTTTCTTTAAAGAAAAACTGTTTTCTATAAAGAAAACCGTTATACTGACAATTTTCTATAGAGAAAACTGTTATACTGATAATTTTTTATAGAAAAAACTGTTATACTGATAATTTTTTATAAAAAAACTGTTTTTTTACAGAAAAAACTGT